CGATAAATATAGAGAACTGGTCCAACTGGTCTTAAATTCAGTTGCAACATTTGTCCCACACATACTAACAAGTGAATGAAGTCAATATAAAGCTTGTAAATAAATAAATAAAATAGCATTTTTTATATCGTTGCGTTAGTGATCTGGTTACAAAAACTGTTGTTTTGGGTTCTGGAAGTTCTGGAAGCCCGAACGTACTTCTCAGAACGCGTTTTTCTACCGTTTTTCAGCGTGCCTGCTGTATCTTTTTGGTAAATAGTAGGTACTGGATTAACGATTAACGGACTTAGGATAATTTAACGGAAGTTAACGAGTCCGTTAACATTTTTTAAGGTTAACTTAAAAGTTAATCCGTTATTAGAAATGTTAACTTCGTTAATTAACGATTAACGGATTAACGAGTTAATTTATAGTTTTTTTACACTAATAGATTCTATTCAGGTAGAAAATAGCGTCTGAGCGCGTCATAATTCAATTGTATCGTCTGACTGCACGTACTCTATGAACAATTCTGACATAAAATCTATTGTCGAACAAAAGCTGGGTTGCACCATCTTACTTCAACTTTGACAAGCGTCAAAAGTCTGTCTAACTCCATACAAAAAACACGGGTTATCGCCAAAGCTACGGTCAAAGTTAGGTCACGTCAGGTGGTGCAACTCAGCCAAAGAAAAAATTCATTTTGATCGCTAATGTCAGTTTGCAGCGAGTGACACAACCTCCCCGTCTGAAGGCCAGCGGCCGACTGCCGCCCGCACCCCGCGAAGGCCCCCTCAACAGCAAAACGTTCGGAATTTATCAAAAGTAAAATTTATGAATGAAAGTAATGTTCGATTGAAAAACGCAACGTGTCATTTAAAGATTAAAGAATTCCCAATCTATTCGTTCAAAAATATTTTAAATTAACATAGCCGTTTTGGAGGAGTAGGGAATTTAAGTAAAAAATCGATGTCCCGTATTTATTTTTTTAATCCAAAACAAAGAGACTTAGCGAAAATTCAAACGTCACAAATGTAGTCCTTGAACTGTTGTATAACATATATTTTTTTCAACTATTTCTGTCCAGCAGTAACAGAGGAGTAGGCTTTACAAAATGCCCATTTGGCGCGGATTGAGGACTCTAATCGCCTTAATTACGCATTAATTAGCGATACTGACCGATGCGGGACAAATTAGGGATGTGCGTGTATAGATTTCATGTTACTTTACCGATAAATAGGCACTTTTCACTGTCTTGTTAATCTTAGCACACTCTGTAGGATATTAAGTTTGGTAGAGAACTTTCAACAAATTGGAATAGCAGAATTTAGATGGTCTTATCGCTAAAAGCTTCTGTTATGATCTTTGATCATAGACTTAATTGAATTTTTATTTAACATAATACGCTGTAGTATAAATTCAAGCCATTCTAGTCTAGAAATCAAGCTCTTTAGGGCATTTACACGCTACTACTACATTGTACAGTCAATAGCACATCAGGCTATACATTTTTGTTGCAAAATCGTACCTATCCATTACGACTAATAAGACGCCACAATGTTTACGTTGACGTGCCGTCATCTGTACAATAAGTAGGTAGTTTAACTAACCACAGAATAAAATCTTGTACTTATTTACTGGTAAGAAATTAGATATTCTGTGGTGTAACTTATCTGTGGTTCCGTTTACCAAAATATCGATCGATTTTATCATTTTCAAATGCAACCGCATCCCTAAATATTAATGGTTATGTTTGCGAAACGTCTCCCGAGAATTCACCACCCTGCTAACATATTCCAATCAACTAGAGTTTAAAATCCCACTACATAATTCGGCAGGATGATTCAGACGATCAGCTGACATTTCAAACCTTATACAGTTCAAATTATCGCATGGATTTTAATAAGTAGAGTGACCAAGTTGGCCACGATCTGCGGATTTTGGACACACACACCTGTGGTATGACTTGGATAGGGAACGTGTGAACTTTAATTCTATAAGCTTAAAGTTCAAACTGCTTTGAGGATTTGTGAGTGATCCCAAAGTGTTGTTTATTCATGTGATTTATGACAAAAGTGGACAACTCCTGGAGGGGTGTTTATTATTTGTCCAGGGTCTGTAGACTGTAGATAACGTTAAAGATAGGTACTTTTTCGTGATCACTTCGATATGCTGAACTAAGAAAGATGATTACACTTCCCTAGTGCATTTAACCCATTTTATAACAGGAAACATAGTTTTTTTAAAGCACTAACTTGTAAGGCTGAGTTGCACTACTTATACAGGGTGGAATTTTGTAATGCCACCTGGAGGGAAACTACTCTTAATACTGTAGATAGATTTTTTTTCTGAAAGAATACTTTCCTTTATTTTTGAAAAGAAAGAGAACTGCATTCAAAGATTTTCGAAAATTTACCTTTCATTTGATTAATCAAGTTTGTTGGAGACATTTCATCCTTATCGATGCAATAAAAATACAGGATGTAATTTTTAACAGATTTTAGTTGGTTCAAATCCCGGGTGTGTAAAGCAAATTTTTGGAATTCTTTGAATGCAGTTCTATTTCTTTTCAAAAATAAGGGAATGTTTTCTTTGAGGAAAAAATTATATCTACAATATTAAAAGTACTTTCCTTCCAGGTGGCATTACAAAATTCCACCCTGTATAGAGTTTATTGTATGGAGTTTGATAGATTTCTTACGTTTATTAAAGTGCAACCCAGCCTTCGTTTTACTTAAAATAATATGCAATAATCGCATTCATACGAACGTAAAGCAACTATACTCTAATGTATTGAAAATTTCGTATTAAAATCGCACTAAAACAGAAACCAACTCTTCCCGCGTACAAAGTCACTTTGCATTCCCTTTACGCAGTTCAAAACCTAGCCCTTAGAACTGCGCCCTCAGCTCCCCTTGCAATCATGGGGGCTCAATGCCATGCATCACCCTAAATTACTCACTTCTACCCTAGCACCCCTGGGGGGAAGGGGGAGGTTTTTTCCCCGGGAACAGGTGCACCCCGGTGCAATCGGAATTATAAAGGAAAATTTATAGGGGTTTGTTTACCCTCATTATCGGTCATTGGCCTTGGCGATTGGCAGAAATAACCGAGATTTTCCTTCGCTCTTTTCTTCTACAGCTCGCTAAAAGTATTTAATTATTACTAATTTGTTGTGTTTTCTTCTGGTACAGTCAGTGTGAAATAGTTCGACACTCAAAAGTAGCCAAAAATAAGGTTGTGTTGTCAACTTTATGGCCACTTTAGGTGTCATGAACTATTTGATGCTGACTATACCTACTTACTAATAACTGTTGTACAAAAATATGAGTAGGTAGGTATTTGGAGAAAATGTTAAGAATCTATTAATTGAAGATGAATAAGGTTTTTGTTACTTCCAATTTAACGCTAATTCGAATTTCGAACGAACTTCGCCGATTAAACAACCTTTTCAACTGTTTTCAACGAGTTTGATTCAAAACTGGTTCTTTTCATAAAATAGGGTAAGTGCGTTAGTTCTCGTCCAATTATCGGAGTTGCCAACTTTGTGATGCGAAATGAATATCTTAAAATACACTTACTCATATGTATCATATGTCATTATAGTCCTTATATAGTATACTTTACGTTAATATTATATGACAATAAGTTAATACCACGGGTTTTTTTATAAAAAATATTTTATGCAAAAGAGGCAATTTCACTAGTTTTCGTCCAAAAAAATCAGTTTTCGTCCTAGTGTACGCTATTTTTCGACCACTGTGTAGAAAAAAGGGTGCAGTTGAATTATTAACTTAAAACCAATTCAACAATACAGTAACTATGGATTGTGGTATATCATTTGAAAGGTAATTTTGTTAGCTTTCAAATGATATCAAAAAGATTTAAATAAGTTTCTTACCTAAATTTAGGAAAATATTGCATTAGGTCGAAGGACAAATGGACGAAAACTAATCTACAGGAATAGCTAATTTTGGTTTTCGTCCACCCCAGTGCTTGCTCATGACGTCATGGACGAAAACACAACAACGTTTAAAGCTGTTTTTTGTTTTCGTCCACATCTTTTTAACGGTTTTTATGGGTTTATCACTGTTAAAAAGTGGACGTAAACTAAAATGTTTAATGTAATAGCAATAAAGATCATATTGGAAGAAAAAACATTGTATTTTGTAGGTCCATTGAAGTAAAATGATTATTAAAAATATTAACTAGGTGTCAGGGTTTCCGTCCACGTGGACGAAAACCAAAATCTTGCAAAATTGTTATGCTAGTATTAGTCCACTTAATTATCTAAGATTTCTATACAAAAACTTTAATAAACCCTTAAAATAGTGTTTATTATGCTAATAATTAGACATATGTGCCAAAAACATTACGTAAAGTAGCTAAAACAGTAATTAAACATACCATGAAATTTCCCTACTGGCACGTTTTTTTTCTAACTTGACGACGTTTTCCATTCACCTGTGTGCAGCTGCAACTTCTGTAGATTTTTTTGGAGTTATTACTTGTCAAATTACATTTTGATGCAGACAGAACTGTTACTTAGATATTATAGATTGTAACAAGTCCAAACTTGCACGGAAAGTTATGTTTGTATTCTAATTTTCCGTATTTGTTTGTGGCAAGTCGGTCAAATGGACGAAAACAGGAGCTGGACGGAAAACCGGCGCAATTACCCTACTTTTGATTTAAATTAAGTTTGAAATGAATTTTTGTTCTCAAAGGAAAAACGGGATGTTCGTTCAGGCAAGCTGGATTCCATTCCATTTTAACTTGTTTTTTAAATTGTCAATTTCTCCGTTTTTTTCACCATGTACCGTGTGTTTGTATTATAAATTACCTAAGCTAATAAGGTATTACGTATTTATATTTTCATAAAAGTTTGGTAATTCATTAGTTTTCCTGAATAAAATTCTACCTACAAAATAAATATCAAAACCAGCAGAGCTAGGGTTGAAGAATTTCAACAATAGGTTTCCAAAGAAAGAGATAAGTATGGTATTGTCGCAAATCCTTACCTTTGTATCCACATCATGGAACGGCACAGCGAACCAAGGCTTCCCGATCAAGCTCCGGTGGAACCCGGCTTCTCTCTCCACCGGTCCTTCAGGGGTGCCAACATGCGCCCATAACACCACTTGCACTACCTTCAGCCTCGGATGCACTTTATTGTACACCTCCTCCAAACGCACGCCGAAATCGTCACTCTCATCGCTTATATTCGCGAAAGAAAAGTATATCCCACACACAGCACCCTCACCTTCCTCCACACAGTCAACCAAACCCTCCATGGTCGCCACATTCTCTAACTGGCCACTTTGACCCGATTTGACGAGCACTTTACCAAAAAGTTTTTCGCGCCAATCCATTTTCGAATTTGTACGAACGAACGAAATTCTTATGCCCGCATCATTCGCTCGCGATTCTTTTGTTTATTTTGGTTTCGCATCAACTGGTTCACAGATTCGCAACAAAATCGTATATTTCACACAATTTTGAAAAAAGAACGCGAATAGAATTTCTTGTTTTTTTTTTATAAAAGCGCGGTTGTTATTTTGGTTCGTTATGAAGGATGCGGGAGTAAGTTATTTTTAGCCGGGGCACGGAGTGCGCGCGGGCGGTCGCCCTCGGAGACAAAGGCAGACTGCAGCGGAGGCCGGAGGGCGAGTGAGGGTCCCTCAGACAGAGCAAACACTTTAACAGACAGTGAAAAATGCCGGTATGATGTTTGCATTACGTAATTTTGTAATATTGTTTTGTTTGGAAATCAATCGCCTAATGGACTTGGTGAGGGTTCGTGTTGGAGATGATTTCTTTATGAATTTCAATAACAGGTAGGTAATAAATTTTCATAAAAGCTATGATCAATATATTTTTGAAATTGATATGATAACGAAGCATTGCAGTTGCAGGATCTTGAACATCATAAGCATAAGTATTCTTGAGTCATTGCGGCAGGAACTGCGCTGCGCTTCGCGGACTTATTAATGAAATGTTGCTTTCAGCCTCTCAGCTAAGAAGTTGACTACTTTTCTGGGTTTTTTGTGCTAAAGCTAATAAACCTAGTTTTTTAAGTACGTTTATAAATAAAAATAAATGATTGTAACTTGCAGTTACAGCATGGTGAGACCAATGGCGTAATAGAAGGTGCGGCGCATCGTCCAGTCTTGGAGCGCGGGTACTGGATTCGATTCTAGATTGGACAGCTTAAAAATGACGATAAAACGCAGGTAGACTATAAATGTAATTGTGAAGCAGAGTGTACCAGCTAAGCAATGTGTTATAGCCTAAATCTTAACCAGAGCAAATCCTGGTAGAAAATAAATCTCATCTGAAACATTAACGAGCTGCGAATTCAACAAAACGTTCAAAAGCGCTGCGGTTCCGGGATGATTTACTCCGCTTTTATGAGAAATCAATAGGCTGGCTCGTGCGTCGAATCGCTTCATTTTGTTACGTTTTTAATTTACGGTCGTTTGTGTACATTAGTACATAGGTAGGTTACCTATTTGGCTCAATCACTCACGCAGAATTTACTTTCATTCTTTTACTTTTAAAAAAATATCAAGGCCGGATTCCTGTGCTTAAGTTACATTCTGTGGAATTACTATGGGAGATCCACAATAAAATTATTTTGTTATATGGATTTCATCTTTTGTCGAAGGTCTGTCTGTATAGACTTTTTTAAAACAAACAACAACAAGCGATTGCTTTTATTAGAACGATTTATGAAATTCAAAGGTTTACACAAAGCAAAAGCTGCGAACTTTTGCCGCCAAAAGACAAAAGTGATGATGCGGTCCAAGAAATAATAATGTTGATAATCGTTATGTCGTACACATATACGTGACATTATCAAAAATATTTTGGTGGACTTCATCTAAAATCTGTCAGTCATTGTCAGTGTCAATGTCACTTTCCGCCATTCTTGGCATTCTTGACAGATGTTGGACCGGCCGGCGTTGTTTGTTTGTTTTGTTTTCCAAAATGCAACATTTTCGAATGATTAAAGTCATTATTATTGCATATTGTAAGTCATAAATTAGATTAAATAAGTTGTTCTCCTCGGTGTTTAATTCTATTAAAGTAATAAATAATGGCAAAGAAAGTTGATCACATGGATTTGACCCAAGACGATTCAATTCCACTTGGTAAGTTAAATTTTAGTTAGGTAGTAAAAGTAGATAATAAATACTTTATTACATTTCTTTCCGACGACAAGCCCTGGCCTCCAGCTCAGGTCATTCAGTCATAAAATCTACATGATTTACTTGCAACTATAAACCTTTTTACCATCCTCATCTTAGATTAATACTAAGATCCTCACCCATTCAAGTTATAAAGAACTAGCTTTCCGCCCGCGGCTTCGCCTGCGTGGAGTTTTGTCTGTCACAGAAAAACTATATCGCGCGCGTCCCTGTTTTAAAAACCGGGATAAAAACTATCCTATGTCATTTCCCGGGACTCAAACTAACTCTATGCCAAATTTCATCAAAATCGGTTCAGTGGTTTAGGGGTGAAAGCAAGACAGACAGAGTTACTTTCGCATTCATTATATTAGTATAGATAGCAGTGTCTATTCTCAGATCTAATGTCTGAAGTCTTTATTTAATCTATCTTACCTTTTTGGTACAGATGATGATGAAGGCCTAACTGCTGTAAACATGCCCGGCACATCTAGAGCCCAGAAGACCAGGGGCAGGGGAAAAAGAAGGAGTGTTGGTAAGTTAACCCATCAAACCTCATGCGGTTGCATCATCACCAGTGGGCTGTGTGAGTTTACATCGATTAAAAATGTATGAAAATTTTATTTTTTGAAAGTTTCCCGCTAGGGGCTCTGTACAATCCGTCATACATTTAATGACATTTTTTGACGCGCTCACTAGTGAGTGAAAATAACTCACATAGCCCTCTGGTCATTTTTAGTTCCCACTGCAGGATCATGACTCTTTAATTTACCAGAGGCAAATGGAGAATTTGGCCTACACCCCCCACACTGGCCAGACGGGTTGGGGAGGCATATTACCATGAAACAATATTTTATTAACTATTGCATTTGTGTCGCATGCTATTTGTGGGAGAACTGTGCTTCTTGCATTTGCTTGTACTATGATATAGACGGTGGGCGCTGGTAGTGTGGTTGGGTACTTGTGCCGGCGTCACTAAGTGTAAATCTTAAGTAATTTTATCTATTTTAATATCTACATAATATTGATTTACCTATTGTGTCTCGATTTGGGGGACTTGAAGGGTTAATATAGTTCGAAAGATTAAAAGGGGATTGGGGGGAATAGAATTAGGTAAGTACGCTAATGATGATGATGAGATGATTAGCTAGTTGCTAATAATACTTTGTGGTGTAGGGAGTATGGAAAATACTGAGAATAAGAAAACAAAAGCCAGTAAGCAGTCTTTGAAAGAAAAGCAAGCAGCAGAAAAATTAGCAAAGAAAGCTGCAAATGAAATGAACAAGATTTACAAGCCTGGAGAGTGTATGAAGGTATATTATATTTACCCAAGACCTTATCTTTTCTTATTTAATATTATGTGAATTAGCTATAAGTAATTACTTTTTAATATTTATGTCAGCTCAGCATACTTATTTTTTTCATTTTGATACCAATGTTAGCATAGAAGGAAATCAAGCCTAAATATCAAAAGATTTCTGTCAGTTTTTCAAAGCTTGTTGCACCTGAACTCTTGATCCAGTTTTGACAAATTTTAGTATAGTGATAGGCAAGATCTAGTAAGGAATATATCATTGCAAAATTCCTCAATATGTCAGCTCAGAAAATCGACAATAATTGACATTTTCTGAGCTTAATTATTGATTCTTTATTGATTTTTAGCATATGAACATAGAGATCCATCCAACCCTCGCTGCCGAATGGTACATGGCCAATGTACAGACTGAGGCAGCAGCGGCGGGCGCGCGTATTGTTCCTGCCCCCGACCTATTCCATCCTGGACTTGTGGTGTGGACGCGGACTGTGCCACCGACGCTGTGCGACACGGGGGGAAATGTGAGTAAAATCATAAATATTTTATTCAGTTTTGATCAATATTTTGGAACTTATGAACGTGAAAAATAATAATAAAAAAAACAACCCTTAAGGAGCACTTTACATGTCTCCTATCTTTTAGGCCCTAGCAGTTTGTGATATTACTATACTATATCAGCAGTTGTATAGGATTGTATCAGCACTTAGTCTTCCGAAAAATTTTGATGCTTAGCAGACATTTTGCCGACAGTCTGATTAGGTTGCGGTAATTTTTTTTGACCATTTTATTTTGCCTACAAACACACTAGTGTTTGCTCTTTTCTAATGCACAGCAGTATTGTTTTTGATTGGAATACTATTCTATCTGATCCACTTTTGACCAGTTGTAGATTATTATTCTCTCTCGTGTTAATTATGAGGCCCGCCATACACATACAGCTTGAGCAATTAGCTATTTATAAACATACACGGACCACTCTTGCAGTTGTAGTCAATGAGGGCTATCTTTTTATACTTAACATTTGGTGGCAACACCCCTGGCGATTGACAGGACCTTAATTTACAGTGGCGCCATCTTGATGAGTGCAAATGCAATAGTCCTCCTACCACTTTAGCGCTCACCAATAGGCTAGTTGCCCAAAAAAATTTTTTTAGTCCGTAATGTTTAATATCATAAAATATTGGACACGTATATTTTTATTTGTCAATCTAACAAATAATTACATAGTTATGGTGCGTTGAAGTTGCGCACGACGTCACAACGTGCGGCATTTTTAAGCAAGCGTTGACGTCACGGGCCTCTTCTTATGAACTTTGGGGCGCTTTATCTCTTTAAATTTTCATTAGTTTGAAAAAGTGAAAAATACGTGTAGAGTATTTTTTGATAAGTTAACTGACGGACTAATTAAAACTCTTGCTTTTTGACCCAGGCAACATCCCCATTGGTGCCATTGTCTTCGTTACTAGCAAGTGACAGGACCTTACTCTACAGTGGCGCTAACTGGTGAGCGCTAAACGATAGCCCTCATTGAAATTTAGGTCCATGTCTACAAATATATTTTTTTATAGTGTTGTTCTGTCATAAAATTTCTCTTCCTCAGCTAGCGCTATCATCCAACAAGGAGGCGTGCGCGCGCGCGCTTTACGTCATCACAGCGGACGACATACACGAGCACGTGTCGGGGAAGACGCTCTCGCGACACGTCGGACAGCTGAGGGAGATGGTGGACAGGGAACTGACGCTGGTCGTGTTCGGGGCTAAGGACTTCTTCAAGTGAGTACACTTCACACCATACAATAATGCATGGTAAATTCAGTGAACTGCTCCTGAATCGAATGTACCTACTACTGCTATTTCTATTTATTTATATTAACCGGCAGACAGTGGTGACTGAGTTTGTTGCGGCGCTCCTTCTCAGCACTTGCCAAATGTTGGTCTCGAAGCGCTGGTAGGGTAAAAAGATTGTGAGACATGTAGAGGCTCCTTAAGAGCAAAATGACGATTTGTAAGAACTATTTATTAGTTTCAACAAATAAAGAAATTTTGACTTTGACACGGACTGATCAAAGATTTAATAAAATCCTTCTATTTTCTTCTGATAAATTACTTTGGCCTCCCCCAATGTTAAGCAGAGGACATCCTATGGCTGAGATGATGATGATGGAAATTACTTTGTGGGTAAATTGAAAGTTTACATTTCCCTGGGATATGTTTAGAATTAGAATCTGGAGCACATTATGAAGTCTTCACCACTATTACAAATATATTTTCATTTCAGAAAATCAGGACGCCAAACTGTAAATAGCAGGAAAATGACTGAACTGGAATTAGAAATGGCCATAACAGGCAAGCATGTTACTTTTTGATTCCTATGAGTACACTACACAGGGTTTAGATTGTCAATACATACTTTTTGCCTGCAGATTTGTTGGTGACCGCGAGCTGCGACACTGTGATGGTAGAAACGCCAAGTGAACTTGCGTTGCTTATTGTTCAATTCACGAAGGCCATCGCCGAGGCGCCACATAAGTAAGTGTTCCATGTTATACTCGACGCAGACTCGTGGCAGGCGGGGCCATAAGTAATTTTTGAAACAGAGATGCACACTTGCCAATATTTTGTAATTATTACGTAATATAAACAACGCTACGCCTGCCTCTGTGTGACGTCACCCATAACCAGTGTGAGTGCAAGAGAAAACGCGATATGCACTGTCTTATTATGACAACGCCTGTCATTAGTCTGCGCCGAGTATAGGAGGTAAAACCATTGCATTAGTATGATCACAGTAGATATATGAGCTAAAGCAGTACGGAAACTTAGCCCTTTCGGCGAGTTAAATACCTACACTTCAACTGAGTGTTAGGGTTGGCACTCATAATCTTTATAAAACTAATAAGGTTCTGACATACTTATTTATTAAAATGTTTATTTAGGTTTTTTAATTATCAAATACCTAATGGAATAAATTAATTGAGTAAGTAGTTAACAAAAAAATAAAACGTTAATTAGGTTCTATAATGATCGAATACATAATCGAATAAATTGATTAAGTACAATTAGAGGCCGCGGCCGGTAGAAGATATTCTATTCTCATAAATAAAATACCGGATACTTACTTTCACATAGCTATTGCCTCATTTTAAATACCTACAGTTCATCACTTAGTACAAAAGCGCGCGGAGCAAATTACTTTATCAAATAGAACACATAAATTGTTAAAAAGCGTAATTACGTAATTTAAAAAGAACTACGTATTACAAAATCAGATGTAAGCACTTTATTTAAAAAGTAATAAGTATTTAATCATTTTTACAATTCAGAATTATTACGAAGTTTAAAATATGAAAGTTCTGGTTTTGAAGATGCCGAGTTCAAGCAGCCGTATACTACTCAATACACTCGTGGCATGTTTTTAGGGTTCCGTAGCCAAAATGGCAAAAACGGAACCCTTATAGTTTCGTCATGTCCGTCTGTCCGTCTGTCCGTCTGTCCGTCTGTCACAGCCGATTTACTCGGAAACTATAAGTACTACAGTGATGAAATTTGATGGGAATATGTGTTGTATGAACCGCTACAAAATTATGACACTAAATAGTAAAAAAAAGAATTGGGGGTGGGGCCCCCCATACATGTAACTGAGGGATGAAAATTTTTTTTCGATGTACATACCCGTGTGGGGTATCAATGGAAAGGTCTTTTAAAATGATATAAAGTTTTCTAAAAAACATTTTTCTTAAAGTGAACGGTTTTTGAGATATCAGCTCTCAAAGTCGTAAAAAGTATGTCCCCCCCCCTCTATTTTTATAACTACGGGGTATAAAATTCTAAAAAAAATAGAGGTGATGCATGCTAATTAACTCTTTCAACGATTTTTGGTTTGATCAAAGTATCTCTTATAGTTTTTGAGATAGGTTGATTAAATTGACATAATAAGTTTATTATATTTGCTGCTACGGAACCCTTTGTGCGCGAGCCCGACTAGCACTTGGCCGGTTTTTTAAAAATACAGCGGACAGCGCATGCAATAAAATTATTATTAAAAACACAACGCGCGCGACACTCGCGACGGATGGACTGCGAGGTTCGCTTAGAGCCCGTGTAAAGCGTGCGTCTGTGTGCGTGAGTCTGATTTCGAGCGTTTGTATGAAGCTTCCGTACTGTTTGATTTATCTACTGTGGTATGATATAGTGATGACATGACACCCAGAACTACATTTGCCAATTTATTTTACCTTCAGGAACGCTAAGAAGTCGTGGGATGAACAGGCAGAGTTCTACATGAGAGGCGACAAGAAAAACAGCGTCACCGTGGACAAAGATGGTGAGTGATACGGGATACTTTCCTGTAATGTTTAATAAGGGATTTTTATGGGGATTCTACTGTGTTGGGTAAACTGGGACATCTTAGATAGAACGTTGTCCATTTTGCTTATAAAATAATTGCCTGTAAAGGAGACTGATGTTGATTTCACAACCAATCCCTAACTTTTAAGTGACTAATTTGAAAACAAAATTCCTGTTATGTGTTAACATAAGGGTCACTTAAAAATTGGGATTGATGGTGAAAACGGGCATGACACGTCTTATCTCCCTCGATAAATCGATTCTTTCACGTCAAAAAGCAGTTCAATATGGCGTCATACTGATTTGTGACGTCATCAGTTTCAGCCAATCTATTGTTTGATTGCCAATTTGTGTATATTCGATCTCACATCCCTCTATAAACTTTTGTTGTAACATAGTACCTATTCTATTACAAGTACAACGCCATAACGTAACGTTTCAGGTAACGGCTTAGCGCGGCTGTGGCAGCAGATCATCGCAGTCCTGCCGAATTCGAGCTTGGAGACTTCTCGGTCGCTGTGTGAGGAATTTAAATCGCCTCTCGCTTTGTATGAGGTAAGCGAATAAATTCAATTTTTTATAGTAATTAAAATAAACATGATCAATATGTTTTAATAGTAATTAAAAGTTTCGTTCGTTTTAATCAAATCATTTCCACTGTTGGATAAAGGCCACCCCAAGGAATAGAAATGGTGACACCACCAGTCAATTGACGTACTTTTTAAAACTGTCAAAACGAAACTCTCCCATAGGTTTTGTATGGCACTACAAGTAGGGATTGCAATCCAGCGGCGTTTTCAATCCAGCTGGATTCTTGCTGGATTCACCTGAATCCAGCTGAATCCAGCGCGGATCCAGCAAAATGTGGAACGCAAATAAAAAGACGACTTTTTTAAGTCTTTTTTTTTTATTAAGTAACTAGTTTTCCGCCCACGGCTTCGCCCGCGGGAAAAAGGGCTGTTTTTAGGGTTTTCCCAGAAATTGTTCGAATTTTTCTCGCCGTAAAAACCATCCTTGGACTTCAACGAACATTTAAAAAAATTGGTCCAGTCGTTGTTGAGGTCTGCGCTTACCAACACATTTTGCGATTCATTACTGAGAATGCGCTTTCGGTTTCCACACTAGTCGGTTTTAGGATCATTAAATTATGAATAGTAGAATGACCACGACCGCTCTGCCAAGAGCGTAACGAATAAGAAGAAATAGTCATACACCATAGATAAATGTTAACCTCGCACTCGTTCGGTCTCATATACACTCATTTCTTTTTTCAGTACCTTTTCGTAATCTAATTGACCACTTGGCTTTGGCTTTTGTTTATTAAAGTTCTCCTTCTCTCTTTTAAGTTCCATCTCAAGCTCTTGCCCTGAAGTCATTTTAACGAGTTCTGCGACATTATTTAGACCATTCTCTTCTAACTCCATGATATCTTTATCTTCTTGCACATTTTGTTTATTTACACGTTTTAACAAAGTCTTCATCTCCTGCCATATCGCATTCTTTTTTGGCAAAGGAAAATAGACAGTTTTTTTACTGCTTCTTCATACTTTTTTGGATTTTTCAATCACACTAACTAAAGTACCAGTAATTTCGGAGAGGCGCCGTTCAACGCACAAAACAACAGAACGGCAACGTCACCGCGCCGTTTTGAAATTTGCAAGAAAGGATTTTTTCCTGGCGGCTTGGTGACTGGAATTGAACCGCCACCGGTGCAGACGGAGAAGATGGTGAATTGTCTGCACGTGAAAAGAGGTTGTCCGGCTTGCAGAAATTTATATAAGTTACCGTTCCTTGTATGAAATTAAAAAATGTAAATAAAACAGCTCCCTCTCAATTGACACAATTTATTTTTATCTCGTATGCTCGTGTAAAGTTAACAATTACTATATTATAATAACTACTGTAATAGTGCCAATCTCAAGGGATTCAGGGTCGTTAATTAGGTTCGGTTTGGTGAATATTATTGCCACTACAAATTTCTTAAAACTCAGCCTAAATATTAAAAGACTCTAATAGTTAAGATAACTGCACGATGTCAGGTCGGAAAGACTCCTACTTGAAGGATGGAAAAGTGGGTACCTTGGAAGCCATGCGGTTATAAGCCGTTACCCTGAACGTTCCTCTCTTCTTCCGGGGTCCAACGGGTCTCGCACACTTTTAGGTTACAAGCAGCGTCCTCCACGGCCTCAAGCGTGCAGTGCCAGATGAAACTCTTGCATCCCTTTGACAGGTAAGCGTTCAAACTCTTGCAGAGACAGAGGTTTGATGACAAGGAGGAAATGCGAAGAGATCAGCATTTTAGAAAGGACAAATATTTGATACGAAATGAAGAGAAATTAAAATATATGAAATATCAAAATGTAAAATATGAAATCTATGAAATGTTTGAACTATAAGATATTGTGAAATATGAAATTATGAAATGTTTGAACTATAAGATATTGTGAAATATGAAATCTATGAAATTGTAAAATACGAAATTTGAAATCCCAGCATGAAGACCGTTCGCTAATCTGAGCTTCACTCACAGTCTTCAGCATCCCAATACCCTCAACCGAACAGGATTTAGGGAATTTCTGAAAGAAACCATCACATAAAATACCACGTACTGGAATACGAAAAATATCAATCACGAAAAATAAATAAATTCTCCGACGGGAACTTACCTCATGTGTGTTATTTTTATTTATTCATCAAGAAATTATCGTGGATGCATTTTGCACCACCCGATTTGAAATAAAAGGAATTACATTCCCGAAAATAATCAAATTGCGGTTGCGCACGATCGACAAATTCCTAAGTGATTTGACAGCTCCACTGACAGCCGCTCTGTCATAGACATCGCGATACGTTTCGTTTCGCCGTTTGAAAAAGTAAATACTGTACTAATAAAACCATGATGAAAACAATTTCCAGAACACTGAAAATATTCTATTTGAAAAATAGAATAATCAATATAAAAACACTAGGAAATGTTTCATCAAAATATATTTCAATTAACTGAGCAAAAAGCGCCATCTATTGCAAATTAATTCTAAATCACGCCAATAGATGTCGCTAGTGGTATCCAAAATCAGAATATTGAGAAGAAATATTAATTTGTGAAAAAACAGCAAACAAATTCCCCATCATAAATAAAAAGATTTTTTTTAAAACAAGCTCTTTTATGCTAATAATTTTGGTTTCATGACATGCTCCTAAAATTCATCACCTTATAAGAGGATTTTAGTTTTTATCTGCGAAACTTTTTAATAGTACGTTTCATGGTTTGGTAATTTAGGGAAGTTTATTTGCACTATGGTATCAATGTACTGAGTACCTATGCACCTTCAGTGGCAACAACAAGGTCTACTGGGTACCTATAGTCTT